GCCACGCCCCTTGCTCGGCCACGCCCCCGCCCGGGAGCTGCGCCCGGACCCAGAACAGATCCGGGTCTGCAGCCTGCTCCGCGGCGGCGTTAGCTGGGTTGGGCTGGCTTTGAGGACGCGCGAAAGAGGACAGGCGATGTGTGCGGGCAGAGACTGAGCGTCTGCGGACAGGGAAAACAGAGGAGGCAGCGGGAATCGGAGGAGAAAGACAAGGATTTGTTCAGATTGAGATGCGCTACGAGGGGCTGGGGCTTTAGCTCATTGGCACAGCGCCTGCCTGGCAAGTGTAAGGTCGTGAGTTCGATTCCCAGTACGGAAAAAAACAAAACAAAACAAAAAAAAATAGCACGAGATTCGCTACGAGCCGGGGCTCCAAACCCAGGGGCCTGGGAGGGTCCTCCTGTTCCTCTCCATCCGAGGTAACTGGACGGTGTGGGTGTGCAAGGAAGACAGTGTGTTTTACCCTTTTAGAAAATATTCTCTCTGATTTTCCTTTTCTCGGCTGTCTTACCCCAGGCTGCTTCTCTGGTCGGACTAAAGGCTGTAAGATCACCGGTGACCTGGATCGCAGCAGGATCCTAAACAGCGCCGCCGCAGAGGCGCGGTGAGAGCGGGTGTATTCCAGATCAAGAGCTTTTTAATTGTCTTGGCAACGTAAGTCTGGGGGTTTATTTGTTGGGAAGCTTTTTTGATTAAAAGCTTGGGTGGCGTTCAAGAGTTCTTGTAAGCCGATTATTTATTCCGCAGGTATGCATCATGCACGCGATGCCCTGGGCCGCAGCCTCGCGGCCTGACCACCCGTCCCCTGGTCCCGGAAGCCTGCCTCAGCAGGCACCATCTGCACGGCAGTTAGGGAGAAGCCCGGCCCGCCCCAGGAAGCAGAGCTGTGTGAACTTCGGCCACACGGTTGCCTGCGGTTCTTCCTTCCTGCCTGTTTTGCGGTGTATTGCTGTTCTTGACAACGGCTCCGCAAGTCACCGGCCGAAACTGGGTCCAGCCTAGGTTCGCCCCTCCCGCCAGCATCATCCTCCTAAGTTCTGCACACGGGGCATGATGCCCAGACAGTGCCCTGCCTCGCTCACCTGCACTACCTCGGGGGCCTGTGGGTGCTGATATCCTGCGACATCCTGGTCTTTTGCTCCTATGTGATTACCCAGTGAACTTTCCGAGTGCAAACTTTTCAGCTTCTTCCATTACTAAAACCCGTTTAAAGAGGGCCCCATACCTACTACATGGTCAAGTCCCCAAAGTGCAGCAGCCTGCTCTGAGAACAACTTTGAGAAAGAGCGCTTGGGAGGGCTCTTTCTACATCCTCCAGGCACCGGGGCTTGGAGGATGCTCAGCCGTGCGCTGTATCTGCCAGTGGTACCGCTCCGTGATCGTACAGACTGGGTGAAAGGTGAGTGGGTCACACCTATGCTCTTCCGAATGCTTCTGCCGCCACCCTGCACCTTCCACCTCCCTCCCGATGGACTGCTCTCTGAAAAGCCTTTCCTGGCCTGCTCTAACTGAACGGTCTTTTTTGGCCCTCCACACCCAGCTCAGTATTCTGATTATTGCACTGTACTGTAAATGTCTTTCCCTGTACAGATATACATCCTTGAGCTTAATGTGACATCCGGGATGTTGAAGTGTTATGGATTAAACCGTATTCCATCCACAGCTTATATATTGAAGCCCTGGCCCTCAGTGTGCTTGTGTTTGGAGATAGGGCCTACATAGGAAAATGATTAAGGTGAAATGAACTCAGAAGGTTGGGCTTTAATCCAGTAGAATTGGTGACATCATAAACACTTGATCTCCCTTCCTTCCGCCTTTGCGCCTCTCTCTTTCTCTCGCTGTCTCTACACACACACACACACACACACACACACACACACACACACCAGGAGCCGCGTGAAGACACAGCAAAAAGACAACCATGTATAACCCAGAAAGACAGGCCTTGTCAGAAACCATCCTTGCTTGCATCTTGACCTTGAATGTCCAACCTCCAGAACTGTTATGAAGCAAAGATTCAAAAGAAAAAGTTTAAAAAGAAAAAGTTAAGTTTCCCCAAACTGCCCCTTCCCTACTGTTGTTGTTCTTCCTTCTAATACAGATGAAAGTGACTTTTTAAAAAAGTGACTCGGCCCCTGTCAATAAAGTTCTGTAACCACCTGCTCTCATAACATCCTGTTTTTACAAAACCTGTGCCACTGGGCACACTTGACAAACTGCCTTTGTTCTACTTGCCCAAGTGATACTGGGCCAACCCCCTCGGCAGCATGTATAAAGCTAGAGCCCTTCCTTTGTTTGGTGCTCAGCCCGTTTAGACACAAGTCCCCTGGGCCAGATGTACATCTGATAAATCCTCCTGAACCTCCTGTGCTCTCTCCAGACTCTTCAATTCTACAGTTATTACAGAACAAAATGTCTTGCGTAAACTGCACAGTCTGTAGTATTCTGCTATGAGAGTTCAGCCAGATGAGAGGTACACTTTGGATTCTAGACCCAATAAAGCACTAAACTAACGCCAGCCCAATTTGTGCCCCCAGAAGAGCCTGGTGACACTTTTGTGATGCCAGGCAAATGGGCACAGTGTCTGGGTGTGATCAGTGGCCACACAGAAAGAGGACTGTAAACCATACGGTTCATTCCATAGTCTGAGATACAAATGCTTAAAAACTCAGTCATTAACCTACCTCCACAGGAAGTACAACCTACCTCCACAGGAAGTACAACCTACCTCCACACGAAGTACCGAAAACAAATAAATGGAGAGCAAATATTTACTTTGAATTCCACAATTCAAATCTTTATTAAAAGATGACAGACCAACACTACTGTTTTAGGCTGAGTATTTCACATTCCTAGGGAATTTTAGGGGAACTTTGACCAAGTATCCAATTTAACTGGGGCCCCTAAGCCCAGTGTTGTTGAACCTCGGAAATAAGAACTGTATAGTTTGAACTATGGTGGTACTTTTCTATTCCCGACCCTAGCCACGGCGCCTAAAAGATACCAGGTGCATGACTGGTGTTTGTTGAATGAATAAACCTGGTATTTCAGGGACTTCCTAGGGTGACACCAAACTCTGAGCCTGAGCCTGAGCCTGAGCCTATAGATATCACATTCTGCATGTGGAGAGGACTCTAGGAAAGGTCAGGGACACCAGTAGCTTCAGAACATGGAGGTTCGAACTTACATTCTTATCCCTGGGCTGACTCAGTTTACCAGGAGGCATGGACAGCCTCGACTGACTTGTTTTCTCCAAATAAAATACACACACACCAAAAAAATACTCTTCTGAATGGTTTCTTAGTGTCACGGCTTGTACCAGCGTGTCCTCCTAAAGCACTCATAGCTGGAGCTTTTGGGAGTCACCTCGGGTGTGTTTAGCATAGATCTGGGTGTGGATAATGAAAACCCCGCTCTGGGTACTGATGGCACCGCCCCAAAGGCTTATATCCTGAATGAGATAAAACGGAAAGGTGGGCTCACTGCTTGCTGCCTCCTGCCTGTCATGCCATAGACTATTTCTCCTCTGTGATGCCCCTCTGCCGTGCCACCCTACCTAGGACCAGCTGATACGGACCGAAACCTCTACAAACCGTAAGCCAAATAAACCTTCCTCCTTTAACTTGTGGGTATCCTTGTATTTTGTCCCACCAGTGAGAAAAGTAACTAAGACACCGAGTCACTTATTCCATATTCTCTAATCTCACATTACTGGAAAACAACATGTAATAATTTTATATCTTAAGGAGGTTCTCCTCTATAAGTTTACCCATGTACTCAGCTTTAACTGCACCCTTTTGTTAGGACATCTGGGAACCTTTTAAGTCCACTCCTAAGCAAAATCAAAGAAAAAAGGAAATGAGCATTTGGGAACATAAAGTAGAGCAAAGCAAGTCAATTTTGAATAATATATTGCTTTTTCCTTATTTTTATTTTATTATCCTTATTTTGCATGCCTCTGCTGGGGATAGAACCCAGGCCTCACACATGTTACAGCACCACTAAGCTATAATTCCAGCCTAACAAGGTAGCTTTAAACACAACCATATCAATAACTACATGGAATGCTGATGGACAGCTGTATTAAAACACAAATGAAATGCAAAGATTATCAAACTGGACAAAAGAACTAGGCTCCACTAAATGCTAGCTACAAAAACTATGTCACGTATTTGAAAGACAGAAATAAACATCATCTCAACAGCCTGCCCTTAAAATGAATATTTGGAGGTCTCTTGATTTCTACATTTTTATCAAAAATAATTTTCTGAAGAATCACAAATGTCTTGGCAATTCTGTTGCAATTTTCAAAATCCTATGCTATTCTATCTAGAATCTCAAATCTCACACAGAAGGAGTACAGGTCATACAAAAAATAAAAATTAGCAAAATTGGAAAAATAGGAAATTAAATACATGAGACTCTTCTTATATCCATAATACAGTATTAATAAAACACTTGTAGAAGCTAAGTTTGAGAATCACATTAAAATACTAACGAATTTATAATTAGTGTTCATAATTACTGTTATTGATAACTTTCCTATACACAGCAAGATTAGACAACCTTATACACTGTAATTAATGTGCAATTTTCTAAAGGATGTGGGGATTTGTCTTCTATGTTAATCATTTTCCCTCTGCATAATCTTGAGATTGTTACTTTGTGCCCTACCCATCATTCAAAGGAATTCCAAAGAGATGACCAAATTCCACCATGCCCTCCAGGAGTGAAATTCATTTTCACATATGTACTATTTTCCTTCTTAAATTTTGCACTATGTGTTGAGCATTTACATAGATAATAATCCACTCAGAAAGAAAAAAAAAAAATTTTTTTTTTTTTTGGTACTAGGAATCAAACTCAGGACCTTACGTTTGCCAGGCGGGCACTTATGCTGCTGAGCTATATCCCTGGCCCAAAATTTTTGTTTCAGAGTCATGCTCTTTAATGTCTACATCATCTGTTTAGAGGGTAGGGCAGCACCTCACCATGCAGAGACTTAAAACAAGCTAGGACGATTTGCTTGCCAAGCTGAGGGTTGGCAGTACGGACCAGGCTCCGCTGACCACCACAATCCTGCGTAGGGTGGTGTCAGCTCAGCTCTCTTGTGCATCTCAGTCATTTGCGAGGTTGACCAGGGACTGGCTTGTCCTAGGGAGGGGATGATGAAAGCCCTTGAGGTGACCCAAGCTGTCCGCTGAAGCACCTCAGATGCCCTCCCTCAGGGCCTCTCTGCAGCCATGTCCAAGTAGACAAAGGGGGAAGCAGTAAGGCATCTCAAGCATCAAGGTCATTCTGCTGCATTTATTGTTTAAAACTGGCACCAGGACAGCCCGAATACAAGGCCTGGGGAACTGGACCCGCCACTTGACTTTAGAAGCAATAGTCATATTGCAAAGGAACCTAAATCCCTAGCTAGGAAGAATCACTGTGGCCATCCTTGCAAACAACCCCTCCGTGAGTCAGATGCAGAGCTGCACCGCAGAGAGTGACAGGTGCTACAGTCTCAAGGGAAATCTTTCTGACCATAAACAAGCCAAAAGTCCTTGGCCGTTGGACATGAAACCCACAAGAAGAGATTTGATAGGCTGGTATTGGCTTCATATCCTGAATAAATAGGTCACAGTAGATACTTAGTTTCTACTCCTTAAAATTTAAAGTAAGAATGAAAAACATTGGGCAAGTAGAAAACCAAGGCTTCAGGACACTGCAGTGGTTAAAGTGGACAGAATACTGGGTAGCTGTCGCTGTATAGCAATATAGCAAAGACTTGGTGGTTTAGCACAATGTCATAGTCTAGACCTAAAATGTCCCCCCAAAGTCTCATATGTTCAGAAGTGGGGCTTTCAGAAAGTGACTGAATTATGAGGTGCAGTACTCATCAATGGCTTACTTCATTGATGACGTCAGAGACAAAATGTGCGGTTAGGCGGTAGGGCCCAGCTGGAGGAGGCGGGCCCAGCTGGAGGAGGCGGGCCTCCAGACAGTATAGCTCTGGCTCTGGCTCTTCCCTTCCTCTTTGCTTCTGGCTACCATGAGGTCAGCAGCCTCCTCCTGTCATGACCCTCCGCGGTGATATTTCTGCCTCGAAGCCAGCCAACCATGGACGGAAACCTCTGAAACAGGGTCAAATTTAAGCCCCTGTTCCTGCTGCGGGGGACAGGTACTTTCCCATCAACAGGAAAGCTGACTGACACAGACAACACTCACATGTATTAGCTCACCCAGCTGGATACTTGGCTGAAGGCCCCCCAAACCAAAGGCAAGATCTTGGGCAGACTTGTGGTTCACTCCAAAGGAGCCTAAGGTCCTTTTCTAAGCTCACTCCTATAGTTGGCAGAATTCAGCTTCCGGTGGTTGTAAGACTGAGGTACCTGTTTCCTTGGCAGCAGTCCAGTAGGATCTACTGTCAGCTCCTGAGGACTGTCCCGGTCTCTCACCACACGGCCCTCTCTGTCTCCAAGTCATAAGTGGCTCACTAAATCTTACCAGCTTCCGCCTCAGCTTCTAGGCCCTCGTTCCTGTGAGAAGTTGGGCCCGTGTGGATCGTCTCCCTATCTCAGTCAACTGATTTTGAGACCGTCCTTATATCCACAAAACCCCGTCACAGTACTATGGATCTAGCTCTAGTGTGTCCTCCATAAGTTCATGTGCTGGAAGGCTGGACCCTGCTGTGACCATGGAGGTTATGGACCATTAAGAAGAGGACCCTATGGAGAGATCCTTAGGCCATTGGAGCAATGTCCTCAGAGCGGCAGCGGCATCTGGCCCTATGATCTCTCTCACTGTTGGGATGCCATCTGCCATTATGCCCTGACCAGAGGCCAAACCATGGGGCCACCTGATCTTGCACTTTCATCCAAAAAAGTTGTAAGCTAAATAAGCCTCTTTTCTTAGTAAAGTTAGTCTGCCTCAAATAGTTCATGAGAGTAGCACAGAACTAATAATTGGACCAAGGTACATGCCTCCCTCAGGCCAGAAATCTTGGAAGCTGTCTTAGAATTCTTCCCACAATCACTAATATGGATGCATGGATGGAAGGATGGATGGATGTGCAGACAGACACTCTTTGGGACAGAAGTCAAAGACTGTGAGACAGGTGGAAAGCGAAGGCATCAGTGACCTCAGCAATTACTTAGGTAAACCAGAAGGACCAAGAC